CGGGGAATCCGTGCGCAAAGAAGATGACGGGTTTGCCGGGGGCGGGGGGGGGGGGGGGACAGTAGTATGAATAATTGAACCCGCGCCGGGTTTTCAGTTGTGTGTAGCGGGTGGGGTCCATTCTCGGGAAGTGTGAGAAATTTACGGAACTGGGACACCGTGAGCACTGATGGATGATTGAATCACGACAGACTCAACGCCCGCTTCCAAATGGAGGTGCAATATAAGAAACCACGTATATTCACAGATTCGCGGTTCCAAGGATATAGGTAAAAGTGCGAGACGTGTCCTCGCGGTCACGAGTATAGCGACACGTTACGCGTTTGATGAATCAAAATGAAGACTGTCCAAAAATGGAGAAACATTAAAAATGTATTTATATTATAATTCAAAGCAAAACGACACCGGGTCATTATCAGCGTCACCTCGGGACGTCATTTATGACCGCCTCTATCTACCAGAACGTATAAAAACGCTACGCTTTTCGTTCCCTTAGTCCCATCTCACTCTCCCACTTTTCTCCCACTTCTCACTTCCCTTCCCTTCCCGTTTCCATCTCCCTTCTCCGCCTCAACATTCGAGCATATAAAGCTTCGCGTACAACTCAGGTGGGTTAATCACTTATTTCTATCGGGTCCTATGGAGTTTCGAACGTGTGTGTTGGGCCGGCCGCTACGTGGCGCGCGCGTCAACACAACAGAGCCTGTAATCCCAGGGAGCCCTTCTGGCGGCACCCTATAGGGTCTGTTCGTGCGCCGTCTCAGGTCGATTGCCCTCCCCGCTCGCTTTATGTTTGGTCCACACCGTTCACCTTTGCTTTTACTACCCTTGGGAAAGGTACTGGGCATCGGAACTAGCTTCCATGGATTACGGAATATCTGGGGTTATCCCGCTGGCTCTGCAGTGCATCTTCGAACACGTACTGACAGAGCATTAGTTTCAGGTCTTCAACTCGCCTTTCGTCGACGCCGTGATCTTTCTAGTGCTCTAGGTGGGTTAATCACTTATTTCTATCGGGTCCTGTGGAGTTTCGAACGCGTGTGTTGGGCCGGCCGCTACGGGGCGCGCGTGTCACAACAACAGAACCTGTAGTCCCTGGGGGCCCTTCTGGCGGAACCCTACAGGCTCTGTTCGTACGCCGTCTCAGGTCGAATGCCATCCCCGCTCGCTTTATGCTTGGTTCCACACCGTTCACCTTTGCTTTTACTACCCTTGGGAAAGGTACTGGGCATCGGAACTAGCTTCCATGGATCACGGAATATCTGGGGTTATCCCGCTGGCTCTGCAGTGCATCTTCGAACACGTACTGACAGAGCATTAGTTTTTCAGGTCTTCAACTTGCTTTTCTTACTCGCCTGTTTCTCGCGTTGTTTTACGACATTCTTAAATGGGTAATTCGCTTGTTCTTTTCGGGGTCCTGGGCGTGTTGTCAGTTCCATAGTGTAGTAGTCGCTTCAATACATCCTTTTTTCAAATCTTCGCGAGACATACAGGGCGAGCGTTGGAGTCTTTGACTTGTTTAGCCTTGTCCGCTCCGCTTCGTACAACATCGTTGCATAAACCAAGTTCGCAGAACTACTCCGAGTCGTGGTACACATTCGGTGAATTCCATGATAGTATTGTCTGAGTTCTGTGCCGCGCCGCGTTCATGACAAGAGACGAGAATCGAAGGATACATGCGGGTTGGATCCAGCAGACTGAGGTCAAGGCTGTACCAGAGAATTGCATTGAAGGTAATTACATTCTATACCACGCGTCACATTCATTCATTCCGCTTTGACAGGCTTGTCGTTGTCCAACTCGTTGAAACGCCTAATGTCCACGGACTGGTCGAGGAGCGGACCAATGTATGCTCCGAAGGCCGCGAAAAAAGGATTGGCTTGATGAACCTCTAGGCTCTGCATCGAGAATTATTAATAAGGTCAGCGCGCTAGAATGTGGCACCACCGGGCTCCGGCTTCGTTCATCCCCGAAGATCAAATAAATACTCACGCTCTCTTGCTCATACCGCTCGACAATGGACCACGCACGCGGGTCCTTCTCATCCTGCATCACGAACCAATCGATGGTCCCCCTGTCCTTGGAGTAGACCTGCGAAGCCTCGATAAGCTTGTTCCTGATCTTCTGCTCCACGTCTGCCCCCTCTTTTGCGTGCATATGGACGACGAGAGTGTAAACCATTTATGTTCGCGTTGGAAGGATGAGCCAGAAGGGCGAAAGGGCTGGTTGTTCAAATAGGTGCCCAAGAGCTACAAGTGCCTAGTCTTATAGGCTGATTCGTAAGTGATCTCGGGCACCGGCTGGGGCTGATATTACTCACCCTACATATAACTCATTCCTCCTTGCCAATTCGCCGATTCTCGGTCGGGTTCGCATGAGTGGATCTCCGATCATGCGCGAAAACTTGGAACCTCAGCAACAAATAAGGCACGGATACTCACAAAAGTTTTCAAACCACACTGAAGCGTTCTCGGGCGTCGTCTCGGGCGCGGGCTTCTACGCTACGGCAATGCGCTAGTATCTGCTTAGTCGTCGTGTAGAAATCGTGGACGTCAGCGAGTGGAAGAACTTGCATTCATGTCTCCTGCTGTTCAATAGCATGGTGAATGAACGTCTTCGAAGACCGCCTCAGATTGCCATAGAAGCTGGACAACGAGCCCAGTGTCCGGTCTACACGCATGAGATTACATAGGACATTCGAGGAGTGTGACATGGTATGTGACATCGTTCCTTGCCTTCTCGTTCGACGCGCCTTCCGTCCTCCAAACGCCCGCCTAAGTCCATTCTCCTCCTTTATCTGCGTGTTTGTTTTGGAAATTCTTCAAGTCGACGCATCATGTCTGCCGCCGTCTTGGCATTCTCCCGAAAGGTCCCGTCCCTCACCAACGTTCCTGCCGATGTGCTGCAACAAGTCACTCTCTTGTTTCTTCTTCCTGCACTCCAATCTAAAGCCTTATCCAGATCGTGTCCTGGGCGAGTCCCTGTGACCTCCAAAATCTTCGATTGGTTTCCCGTTTCTTGCGCGCGTTTATCGACAACCCCCAGCGCACCAGCATCTGGCGTGAAGCCTTCAAAAACGTCATGTTTACTGTCGCGTTACCTACTACCCTTACTACCTTCAAGTTTTCTTCCCTCGCTCAGCTGCTTTTCGGCGGGGGGAAGTGTATGGTCTGTCTCTTTCTCGACTTGACATCCCTTTTCCTTACTCGCCGGGTCGTATTTATCAGAACTGCAAGAGGATTACACTGTCGGTACCGTATTCATTCGCGTTAGAGATTCGGTTCTGCTCTGTAAGGAGCCTCGTAGCTCGAATTTCCTTTTCCCTAAAGCTAACACCAACTCGGATAGATGGCGTGCGAACTGAGTTGTTTGCTACGCACCCCACCGACACCCAGGAAGGCATCGGCCCTGCCGTACGTTACCTCGTCGATTCTTCGTTACCTCGGAATTCTATTTTAATATCTAGGAGCGCGTTGCCCGAACTTGAACACCGGAATACACTTCCAGTTCCTTTGCCGTACCTCGAAGGATCCAGTGGTGAATATCCCTTCCTTTCGGTCGAGTTGGAGCTGAGTGGCTGATGTCGCATACCCAGAAGTGCGGTTATACGCTCCTCAGGCTGTCAATGCTGCTTGGAAGGTATACGTTGCGCGATGCAATTCGACGCCTGGCGTGATGCAAATGCCGGAAGTTACCCCGGTTCGTGACCTGTCCCTCTTCCCTCCTCCTCGACCTCAATCGGCACCAAAATGTAGGTACATCAGATCATTGACGTGAAGCTGGAGCATTGGATGGCCGTAAGCATGTCCCTTTGCACTTTAAATCAAGGATAGCCAACACTCGTAATAGGCCGCAGAGGTTCTCTGTGATGGTGCCCGAAAGTATAGGATCGCGAAGGAAGAGGTAGATGTGGAGAATGAGGCCTTGTAAGTCTCAGAGACGAGATCCGCCCCGTGGCTAAGCAACTCGCCCGCAGTTTGATTCGACTTGCCTGTGACTTGGGATACACCTTCGCACAGCTGATCTCATCGCCAACGCTTGTGCGTTATGTGAATATCTTTGCCAGGGATCTCCAAACTTTCACTCCTCTCGGTAGGTTTCCCTGGATATAGTATGCATTCGACTATTGACCTTTGTGGGGCAGCTTGGGACTCAGTTCGGCACTCCGTACTCTTCGAGCTCGATGAAAGAATCTCCAGAGATAATTCGCGGATATTATGCCCTTTTTGCTCGCTCGGGCAGCGCCAGTATTCCAACGAGGGTCTACAGAGGCACATTGCAGACTGGTGAGTGCCTCGACACGATAACATATCCCGCTTAATTTTGATTTCCCCTCCAGCCACCCGGACGAGGCACCCGCCGCCATCGCGAAGCGTCTCGAGCGTTGTCCTATGTGCCCCAGGCAGAAGATGACGATGTACGATCGGCCATCTATGATAAAACATGTATCGACGTAGTCAGTTTTTTTCGCCTTCATCCTCACTCTCCATCTTACTCATGAGGCCTGTTTAGTCATCTAGGCTAGCGTTGATCTGGCGCAGGTCGCTCTCTCTAGCTAAGTCTTCCTCTTCTCACTTTCTCCGTCCTCTCTTCAGTGTTTCTATTGCAGCCCCTTCTCTCCTAAACCCCGCGACTCCCTGGTGGACATGTAGCTGGAAGGTGGATGAATGGAGGGTTTTCGAATTATGGGTTTATGGTGGATGCGTGGATAAGCAGTTGGATTTTCTATCGTTTTTGTGGACGAAGGTGTGCAACTTGTATACGGGACTCGATTTGTGGGGCACTTTCGTCTTTTCACGTTTGTCCTGGGTTCTATTTATGACCCGAATGTATAGCGCGTGTTGTGCGCCGGCTGATTCTGGATTCGCACTGTGACCTCAAGACGCTTGACTTGTAAATGCATTCTAAGTACGACGATGTCCACCAGTTCTCGTTCTGCATAAAAGAGCTCTAAATCCTCCCCGGTATGAATCATCCCACTGAGAGCCGCTATTATCGTCGCTCTCGTGGTCTAGTAGAATGATACGCGCTTTGGGTTAAACATGAACTTCGTTTGCGCGGGGTCCCGGGTTCAAATCCCGGCGAGGGTCCTTTTGTCGCGCATTTCACTTTTGTTGGAGTAGCTTGTTGCATTTGTTCCAATACCGGCGTGCAGCAGCGCTCGCCGTTCACGCTGCCAAGGATATAGCGTTTGGGCTTGCCATTGTCATCGATGAACCATACCAATATCCCTGCCATAGCTTCAGGTGACACGCGCCTGGTGGGCGACAACAACCCGCGATGCGCCTTGACATTTCGACAGGTTGTGTCCAAATCGAGGCGCAATTGATGCGACATCTACTTCCCTCGCCTGACTCGCGAATTAAGATCCAGCGCAGATACAGGGTTTGTATATCCCAGTAGGTGGTCCATTATGGTGGTAAGAGTCACATGTACGGCAACTGGAATTTTGCAACTTGACCCAACTTCAATTTGGGCTTGAGCGATAGATAATATCCGCGGGAGAAGCCCAATACTTAATTGTAGTCAAAGCCTGTAGAAGAACAAATTGGATCGTCATTCAGGCATGAAAACTCCAGAGATCAGAAACAACATCGCCGCCCAGTCCTTCCCCGTCCGGGTTGCTGGCAAACAACTGCAGATGCTTCCCCATGTCCACCGCTACAGGCGGCTCCTTCTTGATCTTCCGGTTCGCATCAGCGTCGAACAACTAGGGTGCACACAATCAGCACTAGTCCAAGATAGATAAACGTGACAAAACCCACCGTCCCGTACGTATGATCCAAGAAATCCTCCATGGAGTAGCTCGGTTTCGTGAAGGCCTCGGAGAATATCTTGGTCAGGGTCGACACCCCCGCGAGGTAATGATCCCTGTGCGTGTTGAGCTCCCATAAGGAGCTTTCAATCGCGCGAGTAAGCAGTGGGTTCGGCTCCACAGAATCGAAAGGGTCCGTCGAAGCGTCCCCATCGGGGCGGTGGATCATGGCCATGAGCGCGGGGTGGCGTTTCAGGGTGTTGTATGTGAATGGAATGATCATGATCACAGCGGCGGGAGGCGCAGAAAGCGAGAGGCGCGCGAGACGCTTGATAAAGGAGGCCAGCAACGTTGCCGGTATGTGGCTGGAGAACAATGAACAAGAGATCGATGAAATGAAGCGTAGATACAAACGTTGAGCTGAGGAATAACTCTGTCAATCGGAAGAACCTGGCCCGATGTTTTGAATGTAGGACATCTCGATCGAGGAATGCATATAGCCTCGTGTAGAATGAAGGATAATCTCTGAGATTTATATGACTAGATGAAATTTGAAACAGTGGCAAGGCAACCTACAGGTTATACTCCTTCATCAACACGAAGAGTGCGTTGAGCGCGAGAAGACCGATGGTTCCGCCTGAAGCGCGTTGAGCGTCACGCATGATAAAAAACACAACCACGCACCGTAGTCGACGCTACCCCCAACCCAATCCATTATCAAGACCGGCCGGGTCAGGTGGGGCATAACCCCGCGATGCATCACGTTGAGCGCACGGAGGGAGAGGCTCTTGCTTATTGAAACATCCCGCACTGCGGATAGTTTCGGCAAAAGCAAAAGCCACGCACGGGTAAAGACCGCTCGATGGGAGGCTAGCGAATGTAACGACTGATGTAGCGTTAGCTTATGCAGCCTCGCGCCGGTCGTTTTGGATTTATTCGCGTCTTTTGATGTGGTATCCTCATCGAAGAATTTGCGCCAATCGTCTTCGTCGTCGTCCGGTTCCTCGTCTGACGAAACGTCGTCCGCAGACGCGGCGCCTTTCTTGGAGGGTTTTGGTTTTGGTGGTTTCGAGCCCAACTCCGACACCCACCACGCGTTGAGCTCGGACGCCTCCGTCGGGAATGTATTCAAGCCCTCTAGAATAGTGAGCAGATTTACAGGAAGGTCGGGGTGGTCAGAAATGGACGTTGTGTTCATTAACAAGCTGTAAAACATCAGATTTGGGAAGGGAGGTGAGGTTAAGACGCTAACGGACCCAGCCTCGCGGAGAAAGAACCACCGGACATCATCGTGGACGCTAAACCACGTCTCGTGGAACAAGTGCAGAACATCGGGGTCCAGCACGCCCTTGCTGCTCTGCGCTGATCGCGCAGAAGGGGGGCATAGCAGCAAACCGGAGACAATCTTTCGGAAATGGGAAACGTGGAATTGAGGTTGGGATTCTGACAAGCTAAAGGACGTCGACAGATGTTTTTGAAGGGAAAATAAGATTTGCAAGGACGAAGTCTACATTGAGGTTCCCATGAGTTCTAGCTTAGGGAAAAAAGGGGAGAGAGTTACCCGAAGCAGCTTTTCCTCGTCTTTCAACAAGCCGCATAGGAAATCGACGTAGGAATTGAGTCGATCCCATAGCCAAGCTTTGACGACTTTAGCTGCTTCGTCACCACCTGCGGCGAGTTTTCCTCCAGATATGATGACAACAAAGACCCTGTAGAGGGCATATATCGCTTTTGAAGTGTCCTGTGCATCACCAGCCTTGAAAGCCAGGTCCAAAAGATCCGCTAGTGGATTCAAAGAGGTATTGGCAGCGGCAGCGGAGGTGAGCTGCTCTTCTAGCCGTTGGATAGCTTTAACGAATTCCGAATCCTTTTGAATTTTGCGCTTCTTGCTTGGGGGAGGCAGCGACGGCGCAGGGCGCGTCATGGTCGGGAACGAAAGGAAAAATGGAAACACAGCCACCTGTTCCCGGTCGAGCAGCGTTCGACTGTGGTACAAAATTTCTGAAGAGATAGATCTCATCTACATGTAAAGATGACCTGTGGGTTTCCGATTTGAAAAGAACTTTGGGCGCCGTCGAGAAAATCGGCATCCCATTTCAATTTAGGACTACTAATAACCTCCGAGTCCGGCCTTTTCCTCTCGCCACCACATGTCACCTTCCATGGGCGAAAAAAAAATCGTAGGGGTCCGATGACTGTAGGGCGAGGCGTGCTGAGCGCTCCCAAGTGTGCATATTCTCCAGGGGGAAACCTTTCCTCCACTGGTACCGCGCCGGCATCTCGTCGCGATCGAAGCCTCGGACGAGATGAACGACGACAATCCGTTTTTCCACTGAAGAGCCTTCGACCAGCGCGGCCTAAAGCACTCTATTGGAAACGGGAGCTTCCGAGTCCCCTACCCACATACCGTTTCCAACATCCGATCTATACAGTAGTAGTGTCCGAGTCTAATAGCCTCGACGTGGTCGCCCCGAATCGCCCGCTCCCTCGAGACATTCAGGCGCATAGCATGCGACGCGACGCGAGACGCGAGTGGATCTTGAAGTTCGTCGCCAGGAGGAAGAGCCCAAGCAGTTGCGAACTCAGGCCTCAGGAGTCAGCGACAAGGCTTGGGAGAAATCTGATCGCGTATCATCATGAGGTACGGCATACCGCCGGGTTTCAGCCTAACCGAGAGCTTTTAATCTTGCCGATGCCAAAGCCACTCTCACTCCCACTTACTCATCCCAATCCACCACCATGAGCTTTTGCAAAGACTGTGTCACAGGTAGGCATGCTTCCCCCTCACCGCCCTCAATATCTGGTCCTAACCAGGTCTATAGGTGTCACCCACGAGGGAACTCCTGAAGGTATTTGAGCCCGAAAGCTACAAGCCAGTCCTGATATTGAATAACCTTGCAGGAAAGATCGAGACCATCGGCGGCGTCGAGTGCTATGTAGCAACGCCCACCGTCGAGTACCCGAAGGAAAAGGTCATCTTGTTCCTCACGGACGTCTTTGGCATCGTTCTCCCCAACAGCCAGGTGCGCCATATGATAGATAACATCGCGTTCCCAGGCCGATTGACGCGATAAATCACGTAGCTCTTGGCCGACGACTTTGCGCGTAACGGGTTTAAGGTGCGTTGCTGCGACTTGTGCAATCGAAACGAGTCCAAGTCCTGGTAGGTTGTTGCGCCCGACTATCTTCACGGCGATCCGATCCCTGTGGCTGCCATGGAGGCCGTGAGTATTTTAGATCTCGTACGAAGCGCGATTAACACCAGATCGTAGGGAAATTTTGACATAGTCAAGTGGTTCGGAGGTGGACACGGAACTGCCGACACCCGCCCGATACTCGACAAGGTCATCGCCGCACTCAAGGCTGATGGTGTGACCACCTTCGGCGCCGTTGGGTACTGCTTCGGCGGCCGCTACGTCTTCGACCTCGCGTTCGAAAACATCATCGTCGCCGGTGCCACGGCCCACCCGTCCCTGCTTCAAGTCCCCGCCGACCTCGAAGTGCGATTTTTGTCATGTTTTCATTAATTTTTTGAGCTCATGGGTTCGCAGAAATACGTCGCGACCTCGAAGGCGCCGCTCCTCATTAACAGCTGCACGGTAGACACCCAGTTCCCGATCGAGGCCCAGGCCAAAGCGGACGAGATCTTTGCGGGCTTTGCCCCTGGTTACAAGCGCGAGTACTTTGACGGCTGCACGCACGGATTCGCTGTCCGTGGTGACCTCAGCAACCCCAAGGTCAAGGCCGGCAAGGAGGGTGCCTTCAAGTCCACCGTCGAATGGTTTATCAAGTATGTCTAAATGGTTGCGTAGAAAGCACAAATGTATGTAAAGAGTATGTAAGAGTTGTTATATCGAGGAACGTCTTGCAACGGGCGTGCAAAGCCATTGGGAGCAATGTGGCCATCTGGTTCCGAATGTGAACGCGCCCCGAATAAGATTCTCATTTTAAACAATGGATGTATTTCAACACCAAGTCGAAGAGATTGTGAATGCAGTCCTGGTCAGGTCCGGAGCTTTTGCCTTTTCCGACACCAGTGAAGCAACGGAAAGACTTCACCTGGCCCGTACAAATTCAGGGGAGTTGATCCTGAGGTCCACCCCAAACCCGAGTTAGGCACGCGGACCTTCCGAGACTCCCCGAGACTCGACTGCCTACGCATACCAAAGCGGTTCACCGCAGAAAACCGAAAGAAGGAAGAGGCCAAGGAAACCCGTCGCCGAAGGGGCAGCTCAGAACTATAGCTAGCTGTTATTCGGAGAAAATGTTCGAGGGTTGGCGGATATTGCGGCGAGCTATTTAATAATTCCTGAACCTGGTTGTCAGGAATATCCG